CCTAAACCCTAAACCCTAAACCCTAAACCCTAAACCCTAAACCCTAAACCCTAAAAGCACTAACTCTTGCTGAATGAAAATTGAGTGGGCACGCGTTTCACCGAGAAACTTCTGCCAACACAACTTGAAATACATATTTATTTCGGATGAGAAGAAAACTAATAGTACTAACTCTTGCTGAATGAAAATTGAGTGGGCACGAGTTTCACCGGGAAACTTCTGGCCAACACAACTTGAATTACATAGCTATTTTCGGCTGGGAAGAAAACTAATAGTACTAACTCTTGCTGAATGAAAATTGAGTGGGCACGCGTTTCACCGGAAAACTTCTGGCCAACACAACTTGAAATACATATTTATTTCGGATGGGAAGAAAAGTAATAGTACTAACTCTTGCTGAATGAAAATTGAGTGGACACGCATTTCACCGGGAAACTTCTAGCCAACACAACTTGAAATACATATTTATTTCGGATGGGAAAAAAAGTAATAGTACTAACTCTTGCTTAATGAAAATTGAGTTGGCACGCGTTTCACCGGGAAACTTCTGGCCAACACAACTTCAAATACATATTTATTTTCGGATGGGAAGAAAACTAATAGTACTAACTCTTGCTGAATAAAAATTGAGTTGGCACGCGTTTCACCGAAAAATTTATGTTTCGACTGGGAATAAAACTAATACTACTAACTCTTGCTGGATGAAATTGAGTTGGCACGTTTCACCGAGAAATTATATTTGTTTAATTATCATAATTTATAATATTTAATTTCTATCATTGTTTAACTTATTTTTTATATTTTATTTAGTTATTTTTTTCAAATAAAAACCCAACACCCTCAACCCCAAACCCGGAACCCTAAACCCCGAATTTATTTATGTTGGTTCTTCTGTTTGGTATGAGGTCAGATTGGTTCTTATTCCAAAAAAACCTAAATCCCTCTAATTTTATGTACATTATTTACTTTGCATAAATTTATCAAACATTTGACATTCTTTTGTTTTCATAATTAACTTTTTGTTGTTAAATAAATTTAGATTTTATGATAATTTTATTCATTTAAATTTTATGTTATTGGATTTGAATAGTCTAATTTTATTTCATATTATTTTGTTTTACAATATTTATTTTATTATTGTTTACTCTAAATCGTATTCTAAAGTTGTTTTTATTATATTATTAGTTGAGCTTGGGTATTTTGGTTTGTAGTAGTTAATTTATTGGTGGGCTATGATTATTAGGATGGACGAATTATGTATTTAACTCAAAGATTGGGCCCAGAATGTGGAAGGTTTGATAGCAATAGCCCAAAATCTGGTCTAGGAGGAATATAGAAGGCCTTACCTCGGCCCAAGAGTGGATGCTAGTGGCCCAACAAAAAATTCAGTTCCTTGTGGATGAAGTCCAGTGTAAGGTAGCAGCAATTTGGGCCCAGTGAATGGCTGACCCAAAAAAGATCCCATAAGTTGGATTGCATCCTGTAGATATCTGATGCCCAGTATGTTAGGTAATATCTTGCCCCAAATTTAAGGCACACCGCACACATTATTATTAAAAAAATATGCAATAACAAACCTGTATGAAAATTGTGGTGTATCACAGAATACAATTTTCTTTTCACTTCTCTCCACAAACACAAAAAATGATGAAAATAAAAATAAAAATTAAAAGACACAAAATGAACAGAAAAGGAGGGAAGTGAAAAGAAATTTGTATTCGTGATACACCACAAAGCAAGTGAAACACACAAATTGACATGGCTATGATTCTATTGAACAACAAAACCATAGGTTTCTTAAAAGTATTCAACCACAGATTTCGTTGTGCCTCTCTCGTCAACCGGGAATCTAAAAACAACCAAAGTTCAAATTTCAGAACACAAATTAATTCAAAGGCATTATTATCTCCATGATATTCAAAGTCACTGGATTGAGCAATATTGCCATGAGAAGTACTAATGACTGTTGCAGTTGGACAATGCATGAATAAATATAAACAACATGTCCACTAAATGTGCCAAACATTACACTCATATATATTTTGCCTCATAAAGCCATGATAACAGAATAACAAACAGTAATTGATCCCTTACATTAGCTCTCGTGTTGCTTGTGAAGTTGAACCAGAGATTTTGTATTTCCTTCGCCTTCGCATGTTCCCTCGATGAGTTACCTCGACCTTTACTCCTCTTAACTGCTTTTTTGGTCTGCAAAATTTGAATAATAACACTAAAAGCTCAATATAGCTAAAGAAATCCAACCACTGAACGCATATATATTAGATACATATAAATTAGAATAAACAATTATGTTCCCAAAATTAACCCAAATCTACAAACCTGGCCTGCCTGCTCCATCATCTTCATCGAGAAGGGTTATTCTGAACTCCTTAGATACAAACGGCAGGGGACCCACAGCATAGAGACTCTTTATCCCGTCATACACGGGCAGCCTCTTTCCAAGATGAGACTCCTTGTACAGCTTCACAAGTTGTTCCATCACAGCCTGATTAACTCCACGTGACGTTACTTCAGGGGTAACAACAAGAAGAAAAAAAAAAGAAGTAAATCAAAATATGAAAAAGAAAAATAAAAAAAAAAAGATGGTGCATTTGCTCGGCCACCTCCACTTGGGTCGGCTCTGGTGGTGATGCCTTTGAAAATGATGAAGAAGAGGAACCCGGCCAACCAGGCCGACTCGACGTAGATTGATATGGGGACTGTGGAGCTTGGTACAGCTCGGGAGCTGGCGGCCTAGACTGCCCACCACTGGAGGAACCCTCTCGACTGCCTGCATAGGCACCAGGGCCCTGTGGGCCCCTCGCCCCGACCCTGACCTTGGTCTTGCAGTCCCTGCTGGTAGTAGTTGTGGGTCCCACCATAGTACAGCTGCTCTGCGAGCCCCCCGGCCACCTCCACCACGGCCACCATATCCTCCATGGTGGGGCCCGGCCCAGCCTCTCCCTCCTCCTTGCTGCTGATGGGCCTATTGGCCTGTGGAAGCTAATGATGGGTTGGTAGGCGCTGGGGCCCACCTCGTCCTGCTCCAGTATCCTGAGATTCTGAACTCTCGCCGCCAATGTTGGGAAGATCGGTAGCCTCTTTCTCAATTGTATCAACTACGGGAAAAAAATACACTCCAAAAATCACATTATATTTCAAGTATGTCAATTCATACGATTATGTTAATAAAATGCAAGAAAAAATCATGCACCATGGAAAAACTTAGTTCACTCTGATATAAATGTATGCAAGCACAAAGCCACAAACATAATCGTTCAACTCCAAAGGAAACAATTGCCAGCGACAGCCACCTTCCAATGAGTAAGGATTGCATATCATTCATATGGTAGCAAGTAATAAAATGATAGGCAACTGAATGAAATGTACATATCATGAGACACGCACTTGGTTTTCTTCCGGAGACAATTACAATGAATCTAGCACTAATTACAGATATGCATTATGCAGCATTCATGTGAAAGCCCATGTTGACACAAGTGTAAGAATGAATAAAATGGAAAAAGAAAGAAAACTGAGTACATAAAAGAAGGAGAAGATGGCTTTGGAACAAATGAAACAGATACCATCAGGAAAAATAAAAACACAAAAGGAAAGAAACTTTTTGAGAAGTTAAACATACGAATACAAGAGTGACACACAAATGCAGGTGCAAAGAGATCAATAAATACTTCAAACAAACAGAGCAAGACAACAAATGTTCCTAAAAGAAAATCCAAAAAAAAAAAACCATTCATTAACGTGAAGGCAAAAAAAATGAAGGTGCAAGCGAAGAAAAAGAAGATAAAAAATAAAATAAATCGGTCAAATTTCAATTATATAGCTGGTAGTGAAAATTTTAAATTTCTCATTTCAAAAGTTTAGAGGTGGCGCCCGCAGAGAAAAATTGGAGGGAGATGAAATTTTGGGTGAACTCTGGTTACCATTTCATTAACTTTCGAGCAGAAAAAATAAAAAAGTAACAGAAAATTAAGAGGACACGTGTCGATCATTTGGCTAGTGAGGGCAGTACCCTGGATCGAATTTGCCTTGGGGGAGATGAATTTTTCCTAATCATGGTTCACAAATCAACAATGTTTTTCATTCTTATCGAGGAGGCGGCCGATTTCATACCTCCCAATTATGTGAGCCGCGGAGCCGACGGCAACGGGGTGGTGTATCGAGGTTCCGATTAACTGAACACATTTACTATTTTTCTTTTTTCTTTAAGAGAGACTGATGAAAAAGTTGACCTGTGTTGATAATGATAAATAGAAATTAGCCCCCAAGTAACAGTAAATGCCCCAAGATTAGCAGAAAATCTAGAGCTTTTCTTGTGGCATACATGGAAACAATACACATATCAACATAGCTGAAAATTTTAAAAACTTACATGTACAAATGCTGTGTAGTGACCGCCTCCCATACTTCCATAATGGTTACCGATAGCATAAAGCATGTACCTGTGTGAGGATTGTTCACCCTTCTGGGCAATATAACGAGACAGATCGAGATCATGATTGGGGCAGCATAGATGACGTTAATCTTTTCAAATGTATCACCAGAACTTCTGACAAATCTCCAAAGATCTAATTTTTTGCCGGCTAGACAATGCTTTGAACCTCCCAAAACTGAACCATTACGGTCCTTCACAATTGCCTCCATGACAGCATCTCCATGCTGACATTCATGGGGAGCTCTCAATTTCTCCTGTATTCAGAAAGAACATGCAACCTTGAGAGACAGTGTGGTGAAAGAACAATTACAGGGATGGTAAGGAATCGCCCAGGTCTTAGTCAGATGGACCATTTCATAGCTTGAACTTCTGGTCTCTGATGTAACCAATTCTTAAAGGTCATTTTTTACTGTCCACGTCCGCAAAACCCATCGAAACCTTCGCTTCCTAGATATGCTGCAAAAGCAATCAAACGGAAATAACGCTCCAAATATTCAGCACCACAATTTAATGCCGCTCTTCTTTCTCTAGGCTCCACATCCTGCTGATTAAACAACTTTCTGTACTGCAAGACAGCTTGTCGGATGTTCTGCAGGGCTGAACATCGATCTATAATAGAATCTAATGCTTCTCGGCATTCAACCCCATTGTCAAATAATCGTGTAATCTTCCATAGCAGTAGGATGTCATTAATGCCGAAGGAATGACCCAAATCTTTTCCTTTCCTAATTTTATCAGGATTAGACACCAATGTGGAGATCTGATCTTCCCTTTCATCAACACTTTGACTTGTCAATTTTAATTGTGATGAGTCATCAACAAACAGTCTAACAGGCCTTCCATAATCTATTCGGAGTTTCAGAAAAACAAGCGATAACCGTACCTGTTGTTGTCCTTCCAATTCCCATCTGTAAAACTCCACAAAATAAGGAACCAGAACAAGTAGCAGCCACAGTGCATTAATAAACAAAAGCTAAAAAAACAAAAATATGGACTGATCCATGCAACTGGTGAGTCAATCTCGATACAATAATTACCTGGCAGTTGAAAACAAAAGCCGTGTCCTTAGAAGCAGATACAATGTTCATGGCCAATGTGTCAAAATCAGACCCTTTTGGAGATTTTCCATCAGTTATCGGGACACGAGCATATTTGATGGGAAAACCATCAGCTTCAAAGCACGTTAATACCTCCCGTGGAGTCTGCACAACATCCAACTTCACATGTTCCCAAGCATCTGATATTTGGCCTCCATCATTTTCATGGATGACCATTATAGCCCCTTCATATCGTTCAGCTTCCCGCAAAATATCATCTTTAAGTCTAGCTTCCATTCGTTCAACTCTTTCACAATCAATCCCCTATGGAAGATAATATAGCACATTAGTTTCTAGAAAAAGGTATTTAGTTAGAGTGCATTCCTATCCTCTTTTTTATTGACAATTCAACATCCATTGTCATCACAAGCATAGAATACTGTGTTGCAGAACAATTAAACTTAAAATTTTAAATACAGTGTAGGTTTTAATGTTACAGAACTTTTCTGAGAGCATACAAATAGCCGACTTTATTATATTTCTGCTGAAAATGTTTAATATTTTAAGACAACGGAATGGAAATTTAAAGTTCTGACAAAGCACATTAAAAAAATATTTGGAGCAATAGCTCAGGCAATACCAGTTTGAAAATAGAACTAATAAGTACTACAATGTAGTTGGGTGCTCAATTATACCGGGCATTTGCAGACTGGCAGCTATTCAAGGTTTGCAGTTCAAGCTTCAATCATCACTTCAAGCAATTTTATTTTTATAAAAAATGAAGTCAAAATTCATATGCTAAAAAAATATGCAACATATCATGGATTAATTGTATTCTGCTTCAGAAATTAGGACGTGATGCCATACCGTGTATTCCAGCATATTTTTATATGGTCTTTCAACTTCACGAAGTACGAAAGGCTTTCCATTTATGTAAACAACAGGTTCTTCTCTCATATTGTGCCGGAATACTGGACGGCCGCCTTTTGAGCTTCCAATCCTTTGATGACCGATCGAATTCCATCAACTGTGGGAATAGCAACGCCATATACTGGAAATCCAGGTATTTCCCTAAAATTACAAATGAAAAAGAGATTGTTTTGTTAGTTACCTGTAGCAGTCTTAGATGAAATAACACACAAGCTGGATGCTATAATCATTGAGCTGGGAGAAGTTTAAACCTGAAAGTCAAATATATCAGGTCACCGATGGCTCGTCGGGAAATATGAGCGGACTGTCAGGCTAATTTCTTTCACGCTGTAAAGCATATATCAGGCGGGGGTTCACCGGGTGGTCCGTGGCGGAGTATAGCAGGGGCTTGCTCGGCAAACTCAGAGTGCTGACGACATCGCGATGTTGCACCTAAAAGAACAGATCTCTCGCGCAGCGGTTATCTCTCGCACGGCGGTCGCGAGGTGGGTCAGCTGCAAGATTCAGCCGGAAAATGATGCGCGGACCGTACGGCAAAGGTCGTTAGGTCGCTCGCTGGAAGACAGTGGAGACTTGGCGCTCTGTACGGCATGTGAACGGAGGAGAAGTGAGACTAGAGAGAGAAGAAAGAATTAGGACAGAAGGAATAGAGGAGAAGGGAAAAAGCCAACTAGTTGATGTGATTATTATGATGTGATTTCGGAAGCGGACATGACATACGAAATTTCCAGATAAAGTGAAATTGGGATTGAAAGAATTTAGGGAAAAGGCGGGTAATTTTGGAGCCAGAGATTTGGGTGCACTTTGATTTCGCTCCACAACACGAAATTTGGATGACTACATCAACACAAATTATACAATGGCTTGATTGGTAAATGGTTTTTTGCACCATTTTAGTTTTTTTGTCTATTAGCTTTTTTGATTTTTTTCTAGCTATTTTTAGTTGTTTAGTAATTAACGTTTCAAATCAACTTTTTTTGTCTATCCGCTAAAAATGAAAACGTTGGTAATTAGAACGTTCAACTTTTTTTGTCTATCCGCTAAAAATGAAAACGTTGATAATTAGAACGTTTTGAATTAGCTTATCTGAGGAAAAAAAACCAAAAGTCACAACTCCCCTTTTTTTTCTCTCTCATTAACCTAACTTTTTTTTCAATCTCTTCACGTAAAGGGTTTCTCTTAATTAGAAGGGGATGAGGTACGAAAAAATTATATTTTTAATATTACATTTTTATGTGATTACATTATTTTTTGTTTTAGTTTAATGTTTCTTTTTTTTTTTTTTTTGCTAATTTAATTCATGTGTATGATAAAGTTTATTTTTATTTTATTATTATTTTTTTTATTATTTAAATCAATTTGATAAATATTAAATATTAATTATTTTCATTTCCTCAATAATTATAAGTTCAACATAAATTAGAATGATAAAAATGTTGATGTCCCTATAAGTAATTTTACATGTTAACAGCTAACTAAAATTGCTAATTTTACCAAATATTTTTTTACAAACCGCTAGTACAATCAACTGGTCAAAACAACTATTACAATAAGTTAGTCAAAGATCCGCTAACAGCTAACAGCTAACCGCCATTTACCAAACAAGGCCAATATGACTTTGTGGGGGAGATAACACTATGCTATGCATAAAATATTTGTTTAATAGTGACAGTCATATTTAACAAATATATACTATAATATTTTATGGTATCATAATTATGTTATATCCATTATTTTTATTTTTTTGAATTTCTTTGTGTACTTTATTATACGCCCTTTTATGTCATTTTCTTTCCATCTAAAAATTTAGTTTTCATAAATAAAAAATCATAAAATACATTAAACAATATGTGTTATGTGGTAAAACAAATTTTGTTTGAACATTTTTAACCATTATTTATTGATTTTTCCATCATTGAATTTTTTTGCGTACCTTAGTACACGTTCTTTCCGTCATTTTCTTCCGTTTCAAAATTTAAGTTTAACCATTAAAATTCATAATATAGATTAAATAATGATGTTTTGCATCAAAAGTAATTATGCAAGATTAAATATACATACTATAATTGCACAACCGGCCCAAGGCGGGTAAGCATTCGGTGGCCATTAAAAGGTGAAGAGGTAAATACAATGCGAAATTAATCAGTGATCAGCCAAATACGAATTTATAATACATGACAATCCAAAAAGGTCAGAATAGGTAATGGACAGTCATGATATTTGATATGTCAAATATCATGACATATATGCTTCAATCGTTTGAGTATGGAAGCAAAAGGACCAACATACATATTATAATTCAGTATCTTACTGTAACATTATTTTTATGGTCCAAAGTAATCCTTCATCTTATGCTTCAATCGTTTATGTAGCTTAAATAATGAGTATAGAAAGCGCAAAGACCAACAGACATATTAGAATGGAGAAGTTGAAAGAAAAACGTGGAATTTCTCATTCTCCAAGCGATCATATTCCAATTTTGTCAAGTGAGTTTTTAATTATTGTAGATTCTTTTTGTATGTGAATACATATATTATAAAAGTTTTCTTTTTATTGTACCTTAGTTGGTATATTTTCTAAATTTTGATGTATAGTCATGCAAGAAAGATGCAGAAGTCCTATTTGGATTCTAGACGAGGTACATCTCTATGCATTAACAAAAATGCATTTATGTATTCTAAATTATTTACATTCTGTATGCTCTTGTCCAATGTGATATATTTAGAATAATAACTCCAATATTACTTAATGTGGATTATCTACTTATTTTTTTAATTATTCACTGCAGACAATACACCCTTCCAAAAACTCAACACCCACTATCAGATATTACTAATCTAGTCATTGTAAGTTTCATTATCTTTAGAACAATGAACTGCAAATATTTTATTTACTATCGTTAATAAAATTTTAGTTGATATGTGAAAATTACACATAGTGTATAAGTCATACCAATTTCGGAATCATTGTAGGTGTCCAGCGTTCCAGACATCAACAATCCCGTGCATCGGGAATTAGCTCATGTGGTATATTTTACTCATTATGCTAATATTTGTAATGAGATAAAACCATATGGTATTATTCTATTAAGTTTGTAATTTACATTCGTTGACTGCTACTATTTTGATTAGGTGATAATGGTGTATTACATTCTATGCCAACCAACAAATGACAAAGGCTAATAATGTCGCGTACAAAGAAATTTTCGAGAATTTGAAATAAAATATCAATGTCCAATACTTTTCTTGTGTCTATGGAATTGCTGCCGGGAAATCTAGCATGGGCACCGCCTGTTTGTTCATGGTAAAGGCTCTTCCTTTTTGTTTTTATATAAATATGAGTTGTGAGTTGCGAGTATGTCACGATACTATCTCATTTCTCTTAAAAAACCTTCAACAGTTGTTCAACCATGATGTGAACATCCTGCCTCATGGCATTGCGGAAAACGAGTCTGACATCCTCCGCGAAATCTTCTTGTGATCTGTACCAATTCTTTTGTTGATTATGACAGATTAGGGCAAGAAAGCCGGATCCCCAAGCAGATCAGCCACCTCCTGGTAGAATCTTTTATTTATTTATTTTCAAAACCTTTTCTTTTCTCATGCTTTGGATAAGTGTTGGTACTAGAAGACTGGAACTCTGACTTTATTTTTTTATTTTTTTATTTTTATGGACCTTTTGTGGCTTAAGATTGTGCTTTTTTATGTGGTTTGTTCATTATTTCGGAAGATCATCGTCTTTACGCACTTGATCATGATATCGTTTTTTCAGTGTCAAATGAAATAACTGCTTGATTGTTCGAATTTACACGACCAGCTATAAATTAGTTGTGCAATTATGTCACAGAATACCACTGCCAATAGATGCATTCTCTTGTAATCAGTCCAAACATAGTGTGTGCATAGATGTTAGTTTGTGTGTGAAATTTGCCTTTAATATTGGTATGATTGAGAATCTAACTTCTGTGACTCAGTACAAGCGTGAATCTTTAAGCCTCAAATCCACCATTTTCAATAGTTTGTGCTTCATTGCAAACATAAATCTCAAGTCTCAATCGCAGTATGCAATTTATAACTCATTTCTGTTTGTTCTTGTATTTTGTATATACTTACAATAACTAAATTCTTTGACTCTTTCTGTTCAAATTATTTTTTCATTCACCCGTGTAGTACACGGGTGTCGTACTAGTAAAAGCTGAAAACCAAACAACATTTTTTAGTGGATCAACAAGTCAAAACAGCTAACTTGGTCATACAGCCCAAAAAAAAAAAAATTGAAAAGCCAATAAACGAACAAGGCCAAAATTTGTGAAGTCAAAAATTGTACATAAAGTCTATCTATACTAAAAAAGGCAGATTCAAAATCCTTATCTAATTCTTTATCTAATTTATGTTTAAAGCATTTTATTTAATATTTATTTTAATGAAATATAGGATAGGATTGTTGGATCTGAGTCAATTTTGAAATTGCGTTGTTTGGCATGAGAGGATTATTTGCATTCAATATCTGTCTAAAGCATATTATTTAATTAATTTATTTAATATTAATTTGTTTTATCCATGACATCAGTTTTGTCAAAAAAATTGAACAAACAAACAAAAAAAAAGCACAGGATTAATTACCTTCGTCTTACAAAAAATTTATGGGTGGACGTAAATATTTAACAATGTTGTTTCAAGTTCCTTAAATAATACTATAACTATGCTCTTGAAATATCATTTGTTTAATGTGTGACGTAAATATGCTGTTTAAAGTTCCCTAAAATAAATTTTTAAAAACTATGTTGTTTAAAGTTCTTTAAATATTAATATACCAGTACAACGCCCGTGTATTACACGGGTGCTTGCTAATTTTTTATTAAAATCTAAAATTAATAAGAAAAAGTAATTGAAAATTTTAATACTTTTTATCTATATTAATAATTTAAATGTATAATCCCATTAAATCTTCAATCCATGGAGTATTTTTACTAATCCCGTGAACATGTTGTTTTGTTATTGTAATCAATCTATACACTATTATTTAATATCTATGTACAAGGAGGTCTTTAATAATATATGATTGTTTCTTAGAAATACTATTTTATTGTATAATTTTCTGCGTATTATAAAACTTTTATTGAATATTGCATCTTATAATAAAATATTCCTCAAATAAATATATCTCGTGTCTCGCATAGGTCCCGTACTATATATACCCTTTACATTTTTTTATTCATTTATATAATTATAAGGCTGGATAAATAACCTTAAAATTGTGCCCCGTACATCGCACAGGCTCTGTACTAGTACTATGTAAATCATCATCTCAATATTTAATTTATATATTTTAGGTAAATCTTCTCACGTCATGCAATATTTCTTACTTTTCTATTGATAATCAAATATATCAAAGTTTCACCAATTTTACCTAAGAAACTGTTCAATAATTTATGTTTTTTGTATGTTTTTTGCGATCCATTTATTTTTGTTACATATATAAAAATTATATTAATTTTAGTATTTAAGATGTTAAACATTTTAGGAAATATATCATTCCGTACATCGCACGGGCTATACGCTACTTAGACATGGCCAGTTAACGTGCCGGCGGGCCTCCCATAGGTGACCCTTAACCGGCCCGTCAAAAACCAAGGACCGGGTCCATCAAACCGGCCCTGTCCCGGACTGCCAGGACCAAAAAAAAAAAGATACCCAGAAACAACACGTAAAGTCACGGTACCGGTTGCGAGCCGGGCCGGGACCGGGTCAGGACCGGGACTTTATGGAACAAAAACAGGCTTTATGTTTCGTGGCCTATACAAAATGGGCTAAATAGATTGAGATGACAAATCTACAAGCCCATTCTAGCAGCCCAGTTATGAGAACAAAAACCTAGCGCTTTGTCTATACTATTATTATTATTAGTATTATTCATCTTCTCCTGCTTTCTTCTTCGCTTTAGATACGCACCTAGCGCTTGGTCTATACTATTATTCATCTTCTCCTGCGCACGCATCCACAATAGACGAATCTACATCAGCTATGGCCGTCGTGGAAGATGTACGAGCCACTGCCGCTCGCCTCAATGTCGACCTATCCTCTCTCGACCTTGACTCCATTCGCCTACCCGACGGAGAAAACTTCGGCGTCATCAGGTATAGATTCACTGCGATGATTCTGTATTGATTTTTTTCTTGTTGTCTTTTTATTTTTTTTGATCTGAGTATTATTATTATTATTATTATTATTATTATTATTTTTTTTTTTTTTTTTTTTTTTTTT